TTCCAGTGTTGTCTGTTTGTTTTGGCTGTTTCCATCTCTATTCCTCCCTAGTTACTTCTCTTTCCCTTCCCCCACCCTCTGCATTGCTGCCTTGCGAGTTGCGGGGGAGGGAGGGAGGGAGGGAGGGAGACTGCGGCAGAGTGAGTGGGGGGATGCGGGGCGGGGGTAAGAGGGAGGGAGGAAGGAGGAAGGCATGCCCCGTTTGTTTGGTTTTTGCTCTCGTTGTTGTTGGTGTTGTTTTCTTTTTGTTTTTGAAAAATGAGCCCCGTCCACGCGCTCTCCAAGAACGCGGCGGCCGATGCGGATATCGCCTGGGCGGGGCTCGAGTTCGCTGTATTTGACTTGTGTCACCGCAAAGTCGACGTTTTATGTATCGCCCCCCATCTTTCCATTCTGAGTGTGTGTGTGTGTGTGTACATGTTTAGCTGGCTTTGTGGGTGTGTTCTCAAACGCCTCCGACGATGCTTCCACCTCTCGCTTGCTCGCCATCGCGCAACGTGCGCGTGCCTGCAAGCCTTCTGGCGCATTCCCTTTCGTCATCCTTATCTTGGTTTGTTTTGGAGTATTGCTAGGAAGTCTTGGGGTTGCTTTTTCTCGTTGGGGCTATTTTTGCATACGGGGGTTCTGGGCGGAGACGGGCGGGATTGGATCCAATGCTGGGCTTTGAAGTCGTAAAGGCCTTGCGTGACCGCGGCGTTGTTGTCAGCGGAACGCTGGCCTTTCTGATCTGCTTCGTGGCTCAGCGCGCGAAGCTGCGCAGTTATGACGCGGCCATCGTTGGCATCCGCACACCAGACGATACGCACTTCACACGCTCCTTTTTTGGGGACTTTTTTCACGTCGCCAAACTCGCGTTGCCTACGGTGTGGTGCAGGGAGTTTCTTGGCAGCGTTGTGTTCGTGGCGCTTTTTTTGGTGAAGTCCGTCCTGCACGTCGCGCAATCCGACGCCAATGGGCAGCTGCTGCAGGCTATCATCGGCGACACCGCGGGGGACCGGGTGCAAAACTTCTCTCGTGCGCTTCTCCTGCGTGCGGCGGTGTCGATGCTATCCGCGGTTTGTAGCGGTTCCATTGAACACCTGCGACCGTGGCTTATCGCCTGCTTCCGTGGGCGCCTCAGTCGCTATTTTCAGCGCCGTTTCTACAGCCGCCTGATATACTACCAGGCGAGTGTCCTGGATACACGGCTCGAAGCGGCCGACACGGCGATTGCGACCTACTCCGCCGAGTTTGCCGAGCATTTTGCCGAGCTGCCGTACTACTTTCTCCTTCCTTTGTTCGAGTGCACAGCCTCGATGGTGGCGCTAACACGTAAAGTTGGCGGAAAAGCGGCAATGGTGACGTCATTTGTTGTCGCGATTTCCGTTTTGGTTCTGCAGCAAATCTCACCCGCGTTTGGGCGCATCCACGCCTCCTTGCTCTCCAGGGAGGACGACTACCACCGCATGTTGACAACCAGCCTGAATAATGTGGAGTCTATTGCGCTGCACAACGGTGGCCGCTACATCCGGCTGCAGCTCGAGAAACAACTTGGCAAACTGGAGCACGCACTTGACCACTTCGCCCTCGCGAAGGGGCACTTTGAGGTGTTGGAGATCTCCTTCTCGGATTTCCTGCAGGCCATTTCCAGCATTGTCATCTTCCGTGGCTTACAGGGGAAGAAAAAGAAAAAGATGAGTGACGTCTACGTGGAGATGCAGTACATGCAGGATTTGATTGAAAGTGTGAAGAGTTTTGTGGTGAATTTCCGTGAGATTTCGCACTTGTCAACCTTCACGACGAAATTGGCGGACTTTGACACAACCCTGACGAGCATTGCACAGGGATGCTTTGTTCGTTCCGTCTCCACCCCCGCCACCACCGCCACACCGGGAAGTGGCTCCGGCTCCCTTACACCTGTTGATTACACGAGCATCGATTATGCTGACCGCCCGGCGGGAGTGAAGGAGTTCACGCTCTTCTCCTTTAACCATGTAAAGCTTGCGACACCGGGGGGACAGCACCTCTTTGATGACCTCGACCTTGAAATGCGGAGCGACCAGGATTGGGTTCTTGTGGGAGAGAATGGCTGTGGCAAGACCTCCCTGCTTCGTATGATTTCAGGGCTTTGGCCACCCTCTGCGGGAAAGTACACGATGGAGCGAAGTGTGAGGCTGCTCTTTGCCCCACAGCACAGTTACGTGGTGCCACAGTGTACCTTGCTTGAGCAGGTGCTTTTTCCAACCGTCGATACCAAGCTGAGTGCAAAGGTGGTGGAGGCTTTTAAGGAGGCGCTTCGGCTTTCCGGAGCACGCTCCGTGATTGAGATCCTCGGCGGCTTTGAAAGCCCCTACGTTGGTGTGGATCCCAAAACAGCCGATGACACGTACGATTGGGACTCCCTCAGCGGTGGGCAAAAGCAGCGTATCAGCATGGCACGCGTGTTCTATCAGGTCTTGACGATGGATCGCAGCCTGGAAACCCCGGTGGCGCTCCTGGACGAATCCACCTCCATGATGGACGACACAGAGCAGGAGGTGCTTCTCAACCTTCGCAGACTCAGCATCCGCATGATCTCCGTGACCCACCGCGAGGAAGTGATTATGCACCACACCCACGAACTGCGAATGCAACCGGGGGGACGTTGGACAGTAACGCCTCTCACACGTGTGGCTCTTGACAAGAATTCGTGACCGGGGTCGGAGCCGTGTCCCGCGCTAGAACGCCTTGGGAAAGTAACACTTGGTGGAGTTATACGGAGTCCCTTCTCTCCCCCGTCTCTCCCCCATCGGTATCCCCCTTCTACTGCGTTACCTACTCAACTTATACTAAGCTTACCACTTATCTTTTACTCGCTGGCGCGCGTTATTTGGCTCTTCGTTTTTGGTTGTTGTTGTTGTTTTTTTCCCCCCCATTCCCCATCCCCCATCCCCCATCCCCCATCCCCCCCCCTTTCCCGCGCTCTTCCTAGACATGACGTCTTCGATGAGCTGTGTTGTGGGTGGGAGGGCCGTAAGTGTCCGCTCACAACGCGAAGGAAAAGAAAAAATGCAGTTTTTTTTTTTTTGGGGGGGGGGAGAGAACAAAAAAAATAAGGGGAAAACAAAAGAAGTAAGCATCTAAGCAAGCGAATGCATGCATCAGAGAGAGAGAGTGAGAGGACGAGGGGGGATCGTTCACCTGTTTCTGTCTCTGCATGTGTGCCTCTGTAATTAATCTGCTGTTTTATGTTGTTATTGAGGGCCCACGATGGAGAAGTGCTTTGGCTTGACGCGTCTGCGTCTGCGTGGTAAACGCAGAAAGAAAGAAAAAAAAAAGAAAAACATCTGCCCTCTCTCACCACTCCTCAAAAATAAACATACAATAAAAAATAAAAATCTTGTTTCTTTATATTTTTTCCCGCCCCCACCGCACAACGACAATGAAAAGATGTGGCATGGACGGGCGTAGTCGATTTTGGCTTCGCGTCGAACACTCCGCTCATTTCAGCTTCCGCGCCGAGCAACCCATCACGGTTGGATCCATTCGCCTCGCACTCACCCCGAAGGCGGAGAATGGAGCGGGGGGGAATGTAGAGGGAGGAGCAGCAGCAGAGGCGTCAGACAGCAAATATCTTTTGTGGGCGAGATGTGTGCCGGCGGTTACTCTTGGTGACAAAGTGTTTTGCGACCACCCACCGTACGTGGTGGCATCCTTCACAGTGGGGCCTGACGGCGTCGCAACGGCGCCACCTCTCAGGTGGGAAATCGGCGAGAAGGCCGTCGTTTCCATGTGGCTTGCAAGACTCACTGAAACACCGGATGCGTTTGCAGAGCTGAATGCACACCCACCCTTACACACTGCGAATGTTAACGGTGACGTCGTCCCTGAGGCCGAGACAAGGGCTGCACCGCAGCTTGCATTGGACTCTATCTACAATGTCACCATCACACTCGTCGGGGTAAAGCAGGAGCATGAATTTCAACAGTCGACATGGCGGCCGTTGCTTTGCTTTCGTTGGTTTGAGCTGCAGGGGCACATTCGCGAGGCCACTGTGCCCCCTATAACCCTCGAAAGGCAAGCCAGGAAGCGGCATCGTGCGGAGGTACAAAAGAGGCGGATGATCACTGGGGATGTCCGGGAGGCTTCTGCCGTCTCCTCGTGTGGAAATTATGTCCTGTGGCAAGACGGGACCTTGGGGCTGCGGCGCGAATTACTCACATATCATAGGATTTACACCCCAGCGAATGAAAATAAGCACGTTCGAGTTCGCAGGTTCCCGCATCGTTTTGCAGACATTGTGGGCGAGGTCCCATTTGGGAGCCTTGTTGAAGCCATTGGTCGTCAGCTGGATGAATACACGAAGGAGCAGTACGCCTTGTTGGTTCTTTCGGGAACACCTGAGGCGGCCACTACGGCAGAGACGTATCAGTTACAGTGCATCGAACCTCACAAGTGGATATGGGGTTGGTCAAAGATTGCCTCCAGCACCGGTCTCGTTCTGCTGGCGGATGTGATGGACACAGCAAGGTCATTGTTGCCAGATCAGGGTTGTGTGGAGCGGCTGACGAACCCAACGTACTACACTTCCGTTCGCGAGGAGCGCAGTGTGCGCATCCGCAGTGGTCCCTCACTGAGTGCTAACGTTGTGGGGCACCTTGAGCCAAACGAGGTGAAGGTTGCGGTCGCCATACATCAGTGTCCTCCTTCCCACGGTGGCAGCTCCGTGCCGTTGCGGCAACACTTCGTGGAGTGGGAGGAGGGCGGCTTCTCACTGCTCCGCAACGGCGATCGGGTGTATTTGGTACCCGTGCACCTTCAGGCACAACCACGCCGCTTCCCTCTTTGCCCCCGCCCGGCACCAAGTTCACCTGAGATAATTGCACTGCAGCGAAGGCGCCGCCGCACCAAGTCCGCCGGTAATACGCCAACTACACCAGCTAAGGCGACCACACCGTCGCCGGAGCTCTTGAGTCCTGCGGATATTCCACAGGCGGTTGCTGCTGGCCTAAAGGCGGGCACCGTTCGCCTAGAGGAGTTGTCGAAAATTAGCCTCAATGGAACCCCCACACATTCATCTGCTTCCTCGGAGCTTAGCTGCTAGCCTCCCAATCTTCGTCTAAGCCTTTTCTTAAGAGCTGTTCTGCGACACCTAAAACCACTAAAGAGAAAACCGAGCACGCCCTTAGGCAGCGCATATGTGGCTCTTTCGGGCGGTCAATAACATGTACTCCTGCGCGAGTATCTTCTCTCCCCTGTTCACCCAACTCTGCTGCATTCGTTTGTTTTCCTTCCCCTCACCGAAACCTGCTTTTCCCCCCCACCTTTTTCTTTGTTGTTGTTGAACTGCGTAATCTGCAAACTATATCAATTCCCCTCTATATTAGAGGTTGCAAGAAAGGGAGTAGAGAGCAGACGTAGTTCAAATTGCCCCGTCATCGTCTTTTTTAGTTTATTTATTCTTTTTTTTTGCTAGATAGGCATACTTTGCAGGAAATGACGGCTACGGATATAGGTGAGATCCCCGACAGCGATGGCGTGTTCCATGACACCGACTTCATGGAGAAAAATAAGCATATCTCCGACCAATGGATTCGGATCGCCGAACTGTACCCAGACGGCGTCCACCAGCCTCTCCTTCCACAGGTATTTTCCCGTGAGCAGTTTGGGCAGGGCAACCACTTTGAGTGTTTTATGCTTACGGCCCTGTCCACCCTGGTGCGTTTCCCCAGCGTCATCAGGAACTGCTTCGTCTCCAGCCAAGTTCGACGGGACGGGCGCTACACGTTCCAGTTTTTCCGCGGCAAGGAGTGGGTGAAGGTGGAGATTGACGACTACATCCCCCTGGAGGACGGCGGGGAGCTGTACATCCGTTCGCCCACCGGGCACTGGTGGCCCCTGCTGCTGGAAAAGGCCTATGCGAAGTTCTACACCGGC